CTGTGTACCAGCCAGCCCGTGGGGTGGGACTGCGGCTCCTGCTGCGATGGGCTGAAGAGGAAGACTAGAAATGAGCATGGGTTGCAGCGGACCGCCCCGCCTCCTAGGTAGTAACAGGAGCTTGTGGGAGAGGTGAACCACAGCCCCAGACCGACAGATCCGCGAGGCTGGGCCGACGCTTCTGAGCCCAGGGGAACCTGCAGCCTCCCCAGGAGGGCTGAAATGTTCAGGTGGCCAATCACCATGGAGGCCTGCAGTCGAGCCATCTCCCACCTGATGAATCTTTACTACATTTCAGCATTCCCATGAATGGAAGTTGTGCATGTGGTTAAAGCCCCTAGTTACTCGCACCCTGCAGATAGTCAGTGGCTCCTGTCTAGCACCTCCAGGCAATATGTCAGCAACAATCAAAACCAAAGCTATTTCCCCGTATTTGACTAGGTAAACTGGTTTGTTTAAGTGTAACTTTCTGCATGATAATATCTGTATAGATAGGTAGTTCACTGACTAGTGTCCAAACTCTGACAAAATGTTAAGCACGTTAAGACAGCCCTGAAGAGGTCTCAAATGGCCTCCAGGGTGCTCAAATTGCCTCTGATCAGCACCAGCGGACATGGCTGCCATCTTGGGAGAGCAGAGTGAGTATGGTGTTGGTTTGAAACGATATGGCAAAGCCAAATCATAGAAAGTCATTCAAATTGTAGAATAGCTAAGTGTTGAATGGGATATCCCCCACCGGTCCAGACTGGGGAGGGGCAGGGCTTGAATAAAGTGTGCGCTGAATTAAAAAGACAATATCTTGCTCTTACTTTCTTACTTAAAAAGACATATTTTTAAAGATGGCAGAGTTGTAATACACCTTTCAGACAGGTCATTCTTTGCCAAGAAAATGAGCAGTAAAGAAAGCCATGTGTATTTGTAAGAGCTCAACTACTTGTGATGTTTAATTGCTGTTATATTATCAGACAATCATTGCTTGCTGAGGCTTTTCGTCAGCCTTGTGATACAGTAATATTTTGGACATCTCATACATTCATAAATAATATAGACTAGATCTGAAACAGTGGAAATTTGTTATTGCCTCCCCTTAAATACACTTACACTGAGATATAATGAAGTTTTTCATTAAACCAGTGATATTTTAAGGTAAAATAACCTAAATGAAAAAAATGATCCAGCTCCAGTAACCCATTATATATTTTGAAGTTGGTAGAAGTTGGTCTTGTGAATGCTTGAGTAGTTAAACTACAAATCAAATCATAATCCCTGCTACAGTTAATTGTTGTGGTACTATGAATCCATGGGTTGTGGTGCTATGCGTTTTTTGGTTTTCTGTTAAACATTTGGAGCATTTTAACAAACACCATACTCTCCTTGGTATCTACAACCTTTTCAACCTTGGATGGCAATAGGGCAGGTTACCCAAGCACTAAGTATATTATTGTCACCTAGGACTGAGCACATTCACATGTATAATGCAGAAGAGTCATTTCTATATTATTCAAGAGGGGCAAGGCCATGCGTGGCAGGAGGAGCCCACTCTAATATGGGTTTACATATATCTGAGCAATGGTACCAAAATACTAACAGCACCATAACCACTACATGAACTGTTGTAGCCATTTCAACCTGGTGATAAATAGTGTCATTTTAAACCTGATGATCTAGAGTCAAATATTACATTTAACGTAATGTTTAATACTATATGTTGGTAGTACAGCAGTATATCATGCGATTTTTAAAGTGGTGCCCTAGTATGAATTGTATGTCTAGAAGAAGTGTTTAGCATTGTTGCTTGGAAACATTTGGCTATACACTATGAACCCTCATAATGATTGTCACTTAAAGGAGTTATTGTGGCAAATACTAATCTTCTGGAGATAACTCTTCAGGATGAAAAATTTAAATTAGCATAATTATTTTTGTGAATTATGCCAACCTCGTATGTAAAACATTTTACCTTATAATGTTTTTATTATATTATTCATAATTTTTAGACTACCCATGAATGTTGCAGAACAACATGTATTAGCATGATGCCATGCTGAGTGAGGATGAACTTATCCTCACATAGGTATATTTTTCATCATATACATTTTTAAATTTCTATAGAGTAGCACAAAGATGAGAATTGTACCTACCTGAGGGTGAACTTATCATGCACATTATCTGTTGATTACCTCCTGTCCAGTGTTGATCAAGCCTGGGTCATAGGTGTTGCACTCATGTAATCTAACACCCACTAACCCTCCCTGCCTAAATCCATCCTAGTCAAATGAGCCTTCTAATACTGGGATAGGCAACCATTGGCACTCCAAATGTTGTGAACTACATCTCCCATGATGCTCTTACAGCCATAATGTTGGCAAAGCATCAGGGGAGATGTAGTCCACAGCATTAAAAATGCTGAAGGTTGTTTACTCTTCTTCTAGGAAATGTTTTAGTACTTGCCTTTCTGCCAGAGCATTGGCTTTGAACAGAGATACATATCACTGTAACAAATTTTCCGACACTCTCACCAAAAGTATAATCACAGCAACTATATTGCAGCATAAACAGTGGAAACATTTGTAGGAGGGTCCTTGTGCTCTCGTGTCTTTTAATGATACTACAATCCTCAACAATTGCTTGACACCATGAAAAGGTATTTTGATAAATACCAACATTTTGGGGGGCGTGGCTAAGCAGGCAAATCGCATGGACGCATCTTGCTAGAGCTCCATCGGTGTGAGTTACGAGGGGCACTATTATAGCAACTTACCCGACAGCAAACACAACAATTTATAGCAGTCTGCAAGCACAAGGTCACAGAGGCATAAAACAAAGCCGGCAAAGGCTGATCGAACCTCTTTTTTCCTCACGAAAGACACGGCAGTGAGACTCAGGCGGGAAAACTCCCTTTCACCTTCAAGCTCTCAAGCCCCCTCGCAGGAGGATTGCCCGATCACCACAGTGAACATGAGGGCGGTGATGACTGAGTTTGATGCATCTCTACAAGCCACAATTGCAGGCCAAATGCAAACTATAGTCTCTGTTGTTCGCAAGGAACTCTAGGAGATCGGGCAAAGGAACAAAAAGTGGCTGACTTTGCCAATGCACACAATGGCTTAGCTGACAAATTCCAGGCAATGGAAAAGGTGATTAAATCCCAGAGGTTAAAAATAGCAGACCTGGAGGATCGATTAAGAAGAGGAACAACCTGCGCATCTGGGGTATACCCAAAACCGTGGTGGACACATGACTCCACACTTTCCTCCTGGTGCTGATCCCTGAAATCCACCCTGATCAAATAATTCTTGACAGAGCCCCCAGACTCAAATGACCCATACAGCTTCCGCCATCAGCTGCAAGGGACGTCATCATGAGGATCCACTACTTCCAAGTGAAGGAGAGAATACTTAAAGCTAGCAGAAACGCAAATCTACTGGAACCCTAGTCTACTTTAAAAATTTTCACGGATATCTCACCAGCACTCTCAACTTTAGAAAGTCTCTGACGCCCATTACTTCAACTCTAGGGGCTCAAGACATCAGAAACCGGTGGGGCTTTCCTGCAAAGCTGATCCTCCAAAGACACAGGACTCTCCACTCCATTTTGTTTGCAGTGGTCAGACTACAGAACCTGCGAGACTGGGATATTCCCTCCCAATCATAACGCAGGCTGTTCCTCAAAAAATACCGCAGCTGTCCCCAGGCTGAAATACCAAATGATTATCAACACACTGTGAGGGCTGGGTATTGTATATTTGCTAAACTTGTTATGTTTATATATTTGCTACCTAGGCTTACTGAGTATCCCCTAATGCACTGAGGCTAGATATTGACTCTGTCCATAAGCTTCTGTATTAGCTCTATGCCTAACTCTTCCCACCACGGGTATACTACACATGTTCCCAGAACAAAAACTACAACAAACAAACAAAAAAACAAAAAAAAGTTTGTTGTTGTTGGTTTAATGTTAATGCAAATAATGTATCGATACTGCCTTATATGGATAGACTTATTCACACGATGTTCATGGAACAATGTTTGAAACCTTGAAATTGCCCCTCGTCCCTCCTCTGGAGAGGCTCTTTTGCCTGAGGGAGTCTCTGCCACTAACCCCACCACCCGTGCCACCATAGCAGGGCATGTTCCTGCTCATGTTGTATGAGCATTTTGCTCTTTATTGTTGGCTAGTTACCTTCGTTCCCCCCCCCCTTCTTATCCCACCGTTTGGTTACTACAAACACTTTTTATATATCTCATCACACATCGTTCAGACATTTTGCTATCTTATTACAGTTAACTACACACTATGCTCTCTAGAGTTAAAGGGTGTATTGACACTGTATTAACGCAAACTATATCTCTAACAGTATAAAAATGATCACTTTTGATGTGAAAGGACTAAACTCTCCTGGTAAACGGAGATTGTTATACAAAGACCTTAAAAAAACAGTGTGTGGACGTTGCATGTGTCAAGGAAACACACTTTAAAAAAATGTAGACACCGGTACTGTACTCCAGATCCTACCCCACACAATTCCACTCACTGTCCATGAACAAAACTCTATGGTTATACATAAAGATGTTGCCTTCACGTTACAAAAGCAATACAGTTGCAAGAAAAAGTATGTGAACCCTTTGAAATGATATGGATTTCTGCACAAATTGGTAATAAAATGTGATCTGATCATCATCTAAGTCACCACAATAGACAACCACAGTCTGCTTAAACTAATAACACACAAAGAATGAAATGTTGCCATGTTTTTATTGAACACACCATGTAAACATTCACAGTGCAGGTGGAAAAAGTATGTGAACCCTTGGATTTAATAACTGGTTGAACCTCCTTTGGCAGCAATAACTTCAACCGTTTCCTGTAGTTGCAGATCAGACGTGCACATCGGTCAGGAGTAATTATTGACCATTCCTCTTTACAGAACTGTTTCAGTTCAGCAATATTATTGGGATGTCTGGTGTGAATCGCTTTCTTGAGGTCATGCCACAGCATCTCAATCGGGTTGAGGTCAGGACTCTGACTGGGCCACTTCAGAAGGCGTATTTTCTTCTGTTTAAGCCATTCTGTTGTTGATTTACTTCTATGCTTTGGGTCATTGTCCTGTTGCAACACCCATCTTCTGTTGAGCTTCAGCTGGTAGACAGATGGCCTGAAGTTCTCCTGCAAAATGTCTTGATAAACTTGGGAATTAATTTTCCTTCGATGATAGCAATCTGTCCAGGCCCTGAGGCAGCAAAGCAGCCCTAAACCATGATGCCCCCACCACAGTTGGGATGAGGTTTTGATGTTGGTGAGCTGTGCCTTTTTATCGCCACACATAGTGTTGTGTGTTTCTTCCAAACAACTCAACTTTGGTTTCATCTGTCCACAGAATATTTTGCCAGTACTGCTGTGGAACATCCAGGTGCTCTTGTGCAAACTGTGTAGCAATGTTTTGTTTGGACAGCAGTGGCTTCCTCTGTGGTATCCTCCCATGAAATCCATTCTTGTTTAATGTTTTACATATTGTAGATTCGCTAACAGGGATGTTAGCATTTGCCAGTGACTTTTGTAAGTCTTTAGCTGACACTCTAGGATTCTTCTTCATCTCATTGAGCAGTCTGCGCTGTGCTCTTGCAGTCATCTTTACAGGACGGCCACTCCTAGGGAGAGTAGCAGCAGTGCTGAACTTTCTCCATTTATAGACAATTTGTCTTACCTGGGACTGATGAACAGCAAGGTTTTTGGAGATACTTTTATAACCCTTTCCAGCTTTATGCAAGTCAACAATTCTTAATCTGAGAGCTCTTTTGTGCGAGGCATCATTCACATCAGGCAATGCTTCTTGTGAAAAGCAAACTCAGAACTGGTGTGTGTTTTTTATAGGGCAGGGCAGCTGTAACCAACACCTCCAATCTCATCTCATTGATTGGACTCCAGTTGGCTGACATCTCACTCCAATTAGCTCTTGGAGATGTCATTAGTCTAGTGGTTCACATACTTTTTCCACCTGCACTGTGAATGTTTACATGGTGTGTTCAATAAAAACATGGCAACATTTCATTCTTTGTGTGTTATTAGTTTAAGCAGACTGTGATTGTCTATTGTTGTGACTTAGATGATGATCAGATCAAATTTTATGACCAATTTGTGCAGAAATCCATATCATTCCAAAGGGTTCACATACTTTTTCTTGCAACAGTATATTGACCCACAAGGCCGATACATGATTTTAGTGGGGCTGTTCAATGAGATCCAATATACTCTGGTTATGGCCTATTTCCCGAACTCTGACTCTAGAAATTTCCTCCAATCTGTAATTAACAAACTAGAACACTACTGACATGGGGTGCTGATACAATTCAGAGACTTCAGTTTCATTCAAACCCTAGCTTTGACACATCTGCAAAACTGGATGGACGTAGATACAAGCAACTACACTCCACTTGCAGGAACATAAACCAAGTGACATTGCTATATGGCCTTCATGATGTTTGGAGAATGACACATCCCACTGAATGAGACTACAAGTTCAATTCCAAGGTACATAATACCTACACGAGGATAGATACATATTATGTAGATATTCTATCCCTGTCCCAGGTCTCCACCTGTACAATCAGTGACTTCATTCGGTCAGATCATTGTCCAGTAACTTTACGACTTTTTGACTCCTACCAGTTGCGAGGGAAGAGTAATGGGAGACTTAACAAGTCACTACTCACAGACAAATACTTTGTGACTGACACGCACAAACTAGCTGAATACTTCCGACAGGACTGTAATGGTGAAACGGCCGTTACACTTGATTGGTCTGCTCCTGCAAGAATTTTAGGCCTCTTTCCTTCCTTAATACTGATGTCAAAATTTACGCTAAGATGCTTGCCTACATTATGACTCCCCTCCTCCCTTTTCTTATATGTGACAACCAGACAGGATATGTGACAGGACATCAGGGATTAGATAACACTAGAAAGCTTGCAGTGGTACTTGACAAGCTGAGGGGCGCTAGTTGTTGAGGCCTGTTGCTGGCCCTTGCCGCTGAAAAAGTGTTTGACCACCTTGGCTTGTTTTTTTTTAAGACACACACTTGAAGCTTATGGTTTTCCCCTACCACTTATTGAACAAATATTTGCATTATATGCTAACCCTATGGTACAGGTACTACAAGCCGGGTTCCTCTCCCCCCCCTTTCCAAATAACAAACGGTACACAGCAAGGTTGCCCCCTATTTCCACTGTTGTATGTCCTGGCCTTGGAACCATTATTCAAATCCAGACTCAAAATCTGCGAACAATCGATCAAAGTCAGTGCGTTTCCAGATAACATCCTGTTGTATGTTACTGATCCTAAGCTATCTCTCCCAAACATAATGCAACTGATTACTGCATATGGGCGAGTGTCCTACTACTCTCTTAATACATCTAAAACACATGCCTTGCCGACAGGCCTGCCGGAGACTGCCCTTTGCAATCTACATTGAATTTTCCAATTCAAATGTAGAACAGATACAATCAAGTATCTGGGCATTACAGTCACCAAAAACCCTATGGATGTCCTGGACAGAAAGAATCACTGCATTTAAAATGGTCATTCTGTCCAAGCTAATGTACCTATTTCAGATGATCCAGATCACATTTCCCCCCAGCTTATTTTAAAACAGTCCAAAAAGATATCAACAGATTTGTGTGGACAGGGAATAGACTGCAAATGGCTCACAAGCTATTGAAAGCACGCAAAATGACTGGGGGCTTAGCCCTGCCAGACATATAAACTTACTTTCATGCAACTGTCATTGCAACTAGCATCCTTCATCTGTTGTCAGGGTCTGACCCCCAGTGGGTACAAATAGAGAACTGCCTACTATCACCACACACACTCTCCATTATAATGTGGTTGCCAAAGCACTTACGCCCAGTAATTCGACCTCTCTACAGAATATTAGACTATTCCTCCAAGTGTGGGACAAGTCTAGAGACAATCTCTGCAATAATGTTAAGATTTCCCTGGCCACACTGCTAGCGTCACTTCCATACCTCATCCCTACTTTCAATGCTAGGGCCATGGTCCGAGAGAGGAGTTACCCACCTTTACCAATTATTTCACTTAATGAATAAATACACCCTCCCAAAATCGTTCCACTACTCCTACGTTCAACTGTGGTCCTTTTTAAACAGTGCTCCCAACCAGGATACTCTGACACAGTCAAGAACACAGAGTGGGAACAAATCTGCATTAATCAATCCTTGCTATCAACGTGTAAACCAATCTCCATGTGTTACAAGCTATTGTCGCAATAGATACATTTTGCAAACTCCAACCTGGCTACACACTGGGAAGCTGATTTGCAATGCACATACACCCAAAAACAATAGTAATATATTATTAACCTACCTAGGAAGCTGATAAAATCAACAGCTCACATAGAACAACATTGCTATATGGTACCCAGCCGCCTACACAAATTATACCCCAATACCTTCCCACTGTGCTGGAGATGCAAAACAGAAGTGGGATCTGCACTACATGTGTGGTGGCAGTGTAGCGTCCTCCTACACTTTTGGAATGCCATACACACCAAAATCACATGGTTAGTGGAGTGCACGCTCCCTTTCTCACCTCACACATACCTTCTTCTGGATTTGCCGGCCACCATACCAAAATGCAAGATGAAATTGATCATACATGTAGCACTGACAAAGAATAATAGTAAGAGCTTGGAAATCAAACGCTGCACTTTCTGTTAAAGAGGTACTGTCTGAAGTTGATAAAAAAAACTTTGAATGGAACCTTAGCCCCATATTCACCCCAATAAAGTTCACTCTGACCCATGGCAACTGTGGGACACATGGAGATTGGGTACCTGATCCCACTCTGTACAAACCAACTTGCACTGGTCTTCTCACTAGAAAGCCCCTGTACACGTACTTAAAACTGCGTTTAATTGCTTACAGTTTATGTTGGTGGATATTGTAAGTCAACCCATAAACGATTATACATATGATACATATGATCACTGCTAAATACTGCATTGTGATGTGAACAACATTTGAGTACGAAACGTAAAGGACCACTATAGTGCCAGGAAAACATACTCGTTTTCCTGGCACTCTAGTGCCCTGAGGGTGCCCCCACCCTCAGGGACCCCCTCCCGCCGGGCTCTGGAGAGAGGAAGGGGTTAAACACTTACCTTTCTCCAGCGCCAGGCGGGGAGCTGTACTCCTCCTCTCCTCCTTGCTCGCGACGTCATCGGCTGAATGCGCATGCGCGGCAGGAGCCGTGCGCGAATTCAGCCGGTCGCATAGGAAAGCATTTACAATGCTTTCCTATGGACGCTTCCGTGCTCTCACTGTGATTTTCACAGTGAGAAGCACGCAAGCGCCTCTAGCGGCTGTCAATGAGACAGCCACTAGAGGCTCTGGAGGCTGGATTAACCCTCAATATAAACAAAGCAGTTTCTCTGAAACTGCTATGTTTATAAAAAAAAAGGGTTAATCCTAGAGGTACCTGGCACCCAGACCACTTCATAAAGCTGAAGTGGTCTGGGTGCCTAGAGTGGTCCTTTAAATGTTGCCCCCCCCCTTATTTTCTTTCTGTATCCCCACCACCCCACCCTATTATTTTGAAAATATAAATACACTTTCAAATGGGAAAAAAAAATACCAACATTTCAAAAGGCCAAAATTGGGACACTTAATATTCTATGAGTTCTAAATTATTATTTTTTTCTCTAGTCTTACAAATGTATAACTCAAAATAATATATGATAAATACAATGAAATCGACTAAAAGGATTATAGTCTTTTTTGATAGTCTTCAAAAGCCTTCTTGTTGTGGCTTGGCTGTTTTTGTCTATCAAAGTAGAGGTTAAACAGATTTTTCAAGAAAATATATGCAGCACTGTAAACAAACAAATTATTACATTTAAGACAACATAAACAGTAAGATCAGCAATTTAGTATTTTACATTTGCAAGTTAGCCAGAGTGGCCACCATGTGATCTGAAATAACCCTCGGTGCCGTAATTTATTTTCTGTGCCAACATGACTGCGTTAACCACCTTTATAGAAAAGTCCTTTGGACAGGATTAAGTTTAATCTATCAAATTAAGGAGCAGGGTCATGAAATAAGATGTTGCATGCACAGACTCCCAGATTCCAAGGGGAGCCATACTGTAAAACAAAGAAAAGCAAACTCCCTTAAGTGCTGCATCTATCTTGG